TGGAGACTGGTGAGTTGGTTGAGATGATGGAGATTGGAGAAGGGTGGCTCAGCTTCTGGAGCCTTTGTTGTTGAGAACTCAGACCCTGACAGTGACAGCATCATTGAGGCCACCCCTGTCGTTTCTGCTAGAAAGTGCAGTGGTGGTTCAAGAGTCAACTTGGGTGGTTCAAGAGTCAAGACTTCAAGTGAGAGTCTTCCTGGCAGTAGAGCAAAACACGCAGCGGTGAATAGCAAGAACCTGAAGAGGCTACCGGTCTTGGGTGCATCACTAGGGTAAATGCAAGGCTATGCACCTTATTCCAACACTGTGGGACGTGGGTAATTCCGACACCCCTCAACTTTATCCTTTATATTAAGCTTGCTGCTTGGTCTTACTTCCACGCATGTGTAGATGGTTGAAATAGTGATGTCCTACTATTGCGTGCAACTTTGCAAGATTTCCGCAAAACAGTGAAACACTAGGTCTACCGAAAAATGTTAAGATCCGCAGAGTGAAAGTCCAAGTCAGCTAGTGAGAAACATCGAAACACGTAGGGTTAATGCACCATATTCTAACACTGGGTAATTCTGACATCCCTCAACTTTTTTCTTTATATTAAGCTTGGTCTTAGTTCCACACATGCATAGAATGTAGATGGTTCATGGTTGAAATAGTGACATCATACTAACTATTGCATGCAAGATTTCCACAAAACACTAGGTCTAGCGGGAAAATGTTAAGATCCACAGAGCAAAAGTCCAAGTCACCTAGTGAGAACATCAAAACATGTAGGGTAAGCGCGGTATATTCCAACATTGTTGGTAATCCCGACACTTCTCAACTTTTTTCCTTTATATTAAGCTTTTTCTTTGTTCCACGCATTCGTTGTTGGTTGAAATAGTGACGTCATACTCTTGCGCACCATACTATTGCCAAAACACTAGGTGACATAAGGTCTGGGTATAGTACTTGTATTTGGCACTCAATATTTGCTGATTTCAAGTCATAAATAAATTAATAGATGATTTAGTTAAGAGAAAGTTATAGACACATAAAAACAAATTCTGACATTGGAATTAGATACACACAGCTCGTTCCAAGCTGTGTGCAAAAATAAAAATTTTTTTAATTAAAAGCTTAATAGCTCTTAATTAAAAGCCTAAATAAGTAGTATTCAATATTCAATAGTGTTCTAATTCCAAGCTGTGTCGTATTCCAATACAGCTTACACAGCGATCGGAATTTGAACACAAGAGTGTCGGAATTACGAATTAGTAGAGTTTGAAGCACGGCCGGAATTAGTCTCACAAAATGCCAAATTTAGTCACACACAGTGTTGCACAGTGTCGGAATATATGGATTTGGTAGGTTTGCATTCTAAAGGCTTTTAAATAAATATGGCAACATTTTGTGACGTTTCATTGTTGCTGGCGCGTAGTGCGTTGTTTGGAGAGTGACGTAAAGCAAACAGAACTCGAGTTGCACGTACGGTGATTTTTTATAGCCATTCATTTTTTGCTACGTCCTTAAAGTGTCTGAATATACCACGTTTACCCTATGAAAGTTGATAGTAGACCTTGCTGTACTAAATAGTGATAAACTGTTTGTGTAGAAGGAATATTATGGTTTGAGACTTTTAAATAAGTCTGTGAATATATTAGGAATCCTTTAAGTATAGTTGTATTTGCTGATTTTAAGTGGTAAATAAATTGATAGATGATTGATTTAAGAGATGTTTTTAGACACATAAAAACTAAATCTGACACAGGGTGTCAGAATTACAACACAAAGGGTGTTGGAATAACGAAATACGATTTTGAAGCGCTGTTGGAATTAGTCTCACTATATGCTACATTCAGTCACACACAGTGTTGGAATTCAGCGGTTTTGTAGATTTGAATTCTTAAGGCTTTTAAATAAATATGGCAACAGTTTGTGACATTTCATCATTGCTGGCACATAGTGTGGTGTTTTGAGAGTGACATAAACCAATCAGAACTTGCATACGGTGATCTATTTATAGCCATTTATTTCTTGCTATGTCCTTAAGGTGTCGGAATATGGTGTGTTTACCCTACAAGGACATCCCAATGGCAGTCAATGTTGAGTAGTGGCAAAGCTACCATCAAATTTTACTTTGCAGAGTGCAGGTTCTGGTTAGACTACTTTGGTGAAGGCTCAGGGGCCTAATGCTCTGAGTTTCCTGAAGGATCCAATTGGCCTTGCTCAGGGTATCAAGAGCTCTCCTTTTGGAAAAGTTAGCAGGGTTGGCAATGATTAAATCAAAATGATTAAATCATGTGATTAAATCACTTGATTTTTTATAAAAAAATTATGATTTTTTTTATTTTCTTGATTTTTTTGATTTTTTCATATATTTAAAAATATTGAGTGGCAGTCTTTAATTTATATTGAGGTGTTGTTATTCATGGTATAGTATAAATGTACTATGAATGACAAATTGGTATATAAACTTGTTGCCTTTAGTGTGTACAACATGTTTATTTCAAACAGTGTTAGCTTTTCTCATAACTTAAGTCTCGTTTCAAGTCGTATGAGGTTTGTTTGGTTATCGTTCAGTTTATGTTTAGTATTGGTTTATTGGTCTGAATTAAATGGGAACAGTGCAGTCAGTCACTAAGTCACTACTAGTTAGTGTGTATAGAGGGTAGAGTCTGGTAGATTTATAGGACATAAAACTAGTAGATCTATTGATAGTGTTGTGCACTGTGCAATCATCTACCTATCTGTTATGTGACTCTTCGATGTTTAGGAGATCTGTATTCCTGAAGTGTTTTTGTATATTGAAGCCAGTTAAATGGTCAATATTTAGCTCATTACCTTGCTCCATACAAACTTTACAAAGCTAATGAATAGACTGATCAATAATAGTTTACCCAAAAATCCCAAAATGGTAAACACCACCTTGGCCTGTTGGCCATTATTGAAGGCAATAAGTGCCTTTTTTTAGCCATCCATTATGATCCATATACTGTTATTGTTAGTAGGCTAATTGCAACATAAAAAATAACACCTCAAAAAAGACAAAAAAGCTGAAAAAATCAAAAAAATCAAATAAATAAAAAAAATCATGAAAAAATAAAAAAAATCATTGATTTTTTATTTTTTTGATTTAAAAAAAAAATCAAAAAAATTGCCAACCCTGAAAGTTAGTGATTTGAATGTGCGCACTAATCCTTGGCACCAGCTGATTGCCTTAGAATCACCCTCTTTTAGAGGAAGCCAGATGTCCAACTTTCTATCAGTGTGCATGATTGGGAAATGGGCCATCCGCTGCTACCAGCCTGGATCTGATGTCCGTGTGTGTGGAGTCCTGGGTCCAATTGACCCCAGTGTGGGCATAGAAGACATATTGTAGGTTGCTAACGCTGGAGACACTGCACTGGATTGTTGTATCTATTCCTAAACCAGGAAAGCCTCCTGAGCAGGTGACAGGGTACCAACCCATCATTCTTCTCCTTTGCATGGGAAAACTCATGGAGCACCTGGTACTATGCCACCTGCAACATGTCTTAGAAAGCAAAGGTGTCTTCTCTTCACTTCAACGTGGTTTTAGGAAAGGAAAAAGCACGATTGATGTACTGCACCTGCTGAAGAATGCTATCACTACAGCACGACTTGCTCGTGAATATTGTCTGGCTGTCTATCTGGACATATAGGGGGCATTTGACAGCGTCTGGCATGATAGACTACTGTACAAACTGCATGGAATTGGTGTTGGTGATCAGATGTTGACATGGTTCTACAGTTACTTCCAAAATAGAACTCTCCAAGTGCAGGTTGGAGTTAGTAAATCAGCTTCAAAGCCTGTGAGAATTGGAGTGCCACAAGGTGTTGTTCTTTCATCAACACTCTTCAATGTGATGCTGCATGTTCTCCCACTATCCCCTCATGTGAAGCTAATTGGATATGCTGATGATATAACACTTTTTGTAAGTGGGCATTCCTAATTGAAGCATGTGGCCACATGCAGAGGTACCGTCAAACGAGGCAAAAAGGGACGGGCGGGGAAAATAGGGACATGCGTCCCACATTTCGTAGAAATGTTATAGCAGCTAAACTAATCAAAATATTGCAAAACTAAAAATAGTGGCGTAAACTTCAACATTTTTACTATCTATTACGTATAAAGCTAGTCAAGAAATCAAACATTTACTATCTCTAAAAACTATCTCTCTAAAAACTATCATTTACTATCTCTGTCCCGGATTACCCCGTTCCCAGGGGTAAATCAGGACGGTTTTATTTTGTGTCTGGCACCTTACAAATAGCATATGGAATTTTTTTTGAAGATGCCATTGGATAGCCCTCGCAAAGAGCTATAAAATGAGCCTAAACATGTTTCTGAAATGTTTCATGGTAAGAAGTTATTAACAAAAATGCTCAAAACAGTCCCTTTTTACCCCATTTGTCGGTTTCTTGACAAGATTGGTGATTGGTGCACTTGCTGGCAGTTTAAGTTGAACCCAGCAAAGTGTACTTATCAGGTCTTTACATCTCATTGATCCACTCCATCTGTAACACTTTGGGTCTGCATCAGGAATATACAGTACGTATGTGGTATGCAAAAAGTGCTGGGGTTTTTCTTCAACTCTCCGCATCTCACCTGCAAAGAGCATGTTGGGCAAACTCGCATTGCCTGCCTTAAAAGGATACAAGTACTTTGAGCACTAAGTTCAGTGAAGTGGGGAGTCTCACGGAAACTATGCAGAATGTATGTGGCGTTCATACGAAGCAAGATGGAGTATGGCTCAACAATTTTATGGGACATTCCGAAGTCAATGTTTAAACAACTTGAAACTGTACAAAACTCTGCCCTTTGATACATTCAAGGAGCTTGTTGTACAACGCCTATAGTGTCTCTGCAAGTTGAAAGCTTCATTGCACCTTTGCAAATACAATTTTCATATCTGTTCAATAAATGGGTATTAAGGTACCATATTTGCACATGCCTGCAGGGAACCAAGACCCCAGTTGTGCTCAGGCTGGGAGGTGTGCTACCTGCATACCCAAAGCCTTCAAATCAAATTAAAAAAAAGTCCCTCACTTGTTATTCACGAATTTACGTTATGCCATTTGTGTGCGTCCGATTCCGTCAAAACTCGAAAGTGTCGTGCCATGGGGCAGGGTCAAATTCTCAGCCAACTGAGCAGTCTGAGCTGAGACCAAAAACTTATCAATGCTCAGGCCTCACAGAATGACTACGTACCTACTGTACACTGCCTCTTAGTATGAGCTACTAGTACCTACTACTACTGTATACCTACTACATGATCTATCTTCACTGCTTTGCTTCTTCCTTAGTAGTTAGTACTGCCTAAACCTCTCATCTCTCAAGTCACAACTCAAAATTACATTGGCAATTTAGAAATGGATGTGTTCACTAGTGATATTTTTATTTGTGGGATATGTCAACATAATTTTGAAAGTATTGAAGATTATGCATGCCATATGATTATGCAAGAAAAATGCATAATGATTTTAAAGGCATGTGATGCACTACAAGGTCTAATTTTGCCAAGGTTTGTATATTTCTATCATATTGTCATTTATGAAGGCTTGAAAAGCATACCGGTTACCCCTTTTGGACTCAGGGGTATGATTTTGCACTAGGATAGTGCATATTTGCTATGCAAGTCTATTTGGGATAAGAGATTTTGAAAGTTAGGTACCTAATATACTACCTGCTATAGTTATAGGGTTAAATGAGCTTGGCATTTTCTATCAAAAGTTTACTTACTATGATTTACAAACTAGGTATACCTACATTTGAAACATAGTTGGTATAGGTGCAAAAGATATTCATGTCATTAGTCTGATGATAATATTATATACAGAAAACCTGCCTGCACTACGTAATCTTTATAATATTAAACCATTTTATTTCAGATTCAAACTGGATGAAAATGTTGGTGTTAACACACCAAATTCACAAGCTGAATGGATGTCCAGTGTCATCAAAGTCAGCACTGGACTAGAGAAGTTTCGTTGGAAGTGCCGCCTTTGTAGCTTGACATTTTCCAGGGAAAAGGCTTATGTTAATCATTACTTCTTGCAAGTAAGTAAATCCATTTTTTTCCAAGTCAATTTTATCCATTTGCAGTCCATTGTAAAACAATTAATTCATTGTTGTCTAAGCAATTTTTAAAGTTGGTTGTGTTTTGGCAGACATTTTCATATTTAACTGTCACATTTAAATTATAAAATATGTAGGAAATGTAGTCATACATAAGATATGATGTTTTTGATATGATATCTTCTGTTCAAATTTTGTTTCATCCCAGTGGAGATTTCATCTTGACAATGTTTGTGTGATGTGTGTATTAAGTTATCTTGCAATTGTTCATTGGATTCATATATGGGTTTGTAATGAATGTTGGGGATTTAAAATGGTGTGTACATTTAGCTACTTAGTTCAATAGCTTCCTTTTTGTTAGTGTGACAATTCTAATATGGGCATTATCTTTTTAATATGAGTAGCTGCACTCTTTTATTAGAATATTTGTTTTATTATCCAGCACAAGAAAAATGAAGATCTAGGTTCCAAGAAATTTTTACCTCGACTACCAAAATTTCAAATGAACTTGCCACCATTGAAAAAGAAATTCAAATTGGAGTTATTGGATCCATGTTTACCTGAAATGACCAAGGAAGTTCCAAAAACAAATGACCATAAACCATTTCATGATCCATCTTTAGCACCTTCAAGTGATGCATGTAGGGATGTTGAGCAGAACACATTTACTGCTCGCAACAGTCATGCTCAAACAGAAGAGGACTATGTTTTGCCTTATCCAAATGCTGACCAAATCATCAATGGCAGAGATGACTATGAATTGTCTCATGGGTTTGAGCTTGGAAAAATTCAGATGACTGGCCCTTCATCATCAGATCCTTTTGTTACTATAACTATGGACGACAGTGGTACTAATGCTCCAGTCTCAAATGAATGCCTGGTTGTGGAGCCTCGCCAAACTGCTTCAAAATTCTCTGGAAGCCAAAGCAGCAAAATCAAAGCCTCAGAAGCTATCACTGAAGACCTGACTTGTGAAGAGCTGGAGGATGATGACACAATGTCAGTATATGAAGTGGATGGAATTGCGTGTCAGCTCTGCTGTCAAACATTCAAGAATGTAAGTAATTTTGTCTTGCATATTGAAGAAATAATTACACTTCGTAATTTTTAGTCCAGAAATTATAAAGTGCAAAATGAATAAGACCATTAAATATTTAACCTACCATATATTTGAAATATCTGAAAAATATCTGTGGTCAGTTGAAAAATTAAATACTAAGCCTCTACATGTACTTGGGCAGCAATGTACAATGATTACAAAGTCAGTTCTACGCATTTTGATAGGGCCCAGGACTGTAGTTGCTTTCATATATTGCATCCTGCAGATGTCTGCCTTATATTGCTAATTAATTCTAAGCTTGTGTCCATAGTTAAGAGATTTATTTTGACAATTAGCCACAAACACTGACAAATGTTGAGTGGAGCAATCTATTGATATATTCTCAGCAATAATTGAAGATCAGCAGCAACATCTCTTGGTGTTGTTCCTTATGGTGTTCTTATGGGGAATAAATAAATCATTACTTTGCTCTAATAGTTAGTGGTAGGAAATATTGTAATGTTTATCTCTTCAGGCTTTTTCTCTTATTTGCCAGAAGACCAACAGTTTAAAAGAATGGTTATCAGAGCCTAAGTAGTATCTTCAAAAATACAAAGAGCTGTTACATACAAAAATTTTATTTCCCGCAGACTCGTAACCTACAGCAACACGTGAACATTGTGCATGCTGGCAGTCGCTCATTTGTTTGTGGCTTCAGCGGCTGCGGCCAGGCTTTCAAAACTAAAGGCTCCTTAACCCGGCACCATCGCAGACACACTGGTAGCTTACCCGTTCCTAATGACCTCTTATTTTAAGGTTGAAATTCTTGTATAATTTATTGATACATTGTTTGTGTTTCTCATTTCTCTCAGGTTTATTGATTTTATTTTTATAATTTACGTGATTTTATGCTATTTAAAATTGTATTTTTTTAGTGAGGGAGGAAAGGGTTCTTTTTCCTTCTGAATTGGATATTGTGCAGTTAATTTCGAATCAGCCCTCACAAATTAACCAATTTTTTATTGACAATAAATCTATTGATCAGGGCCTATACTTTCAAAAAAAGTTAGGAGATCGTAAGTTCATCAGCCAATCATTGACGGCCCTTCAAGCAAAATCCACCAGTCACAGACAATGAAATAGAACTTAAGTACTTACGTTCACTTAGCGAGTTTTGAAAGTAAGGCCCCAGGCCTTTAGAATAGCATGGCCGGGAGCCAATGTAGCTTAGATATCATGGCCGCTGGGAACTGCGTTGTTAAACACAACACTGCCCTTAGGTCACAATCATACCCTCTGTTAATCTTACTTAATGACCGCTATGGTCACGAGCATCTGTCACCTTTCTAACAGCCATGCCATGGTGGTAAACAACAAGAGCTTTTTGCTGACCTTCCCTATGTAGTCCTATAAGTAGACCAGTAAGTATTATGGATACCAGCATGATCATGCATAAAATATTCAGTATATTCTTAAAGCTGATCCGTAAATTAAATAAATATGAACTGGCAATTAGAAGGTATAATGTTTGCCTTAATGCGCCTTGGTCAGGCGAGCGACCGTTCGTGTGCAGCGTGTGCGGCAGGAGCTTCAGGGAGTCCGGCACCCTGAGACGCCATCTGCTGGCGCGCGTGTCGTGCGCTCTTAAGTCCGACGCGGCGCTGGTCAGATATAAGGCAGATCTGCCTCTGTACGATAACAAGGTGAGCTGTAGTGATAACAAGATCAGTTGTAGTGATAACAAGGTCAGCTGTAGTGATAACAAGGTCAGTTGTAGTGATAACGAGGTCAGTTGTAGTGATAACGAGGTCAGCTGTAGCGATAACGATGTCAATTGTAGGTAGTGATAACAAGGTCCGTTGTTATCTACTCATGCACCTAAAAGACGTAGCTGTATGAATCACGCCCACTCATTTCACATAATAAGCAATTTAAACTTGAATGGTTTCTTACGAGATAATTTTATATATTTTTTGTGTTATATTGGTTATCATCGATTATTTTCCAGGCATCTGTTGTGAAATTCTTGAAGAAAGAAGAGTTTCTCGCTAAAGAAGATTCTCGTGGCGACGCTCAAGCCAATAAATCAACCACTAGTGACGAGTCTCAAGCGTGTGTGAGGAACACTCAGTCAAAGATCGTCTTAGAGGAGAGGCAGCGCCACGATTCTGCAAAAATTAACTTCAAGAATACTCCTCTCAAGTCACTTCGCCATTGCCAAATTCATGACCCTATTTCTCCGGATAATAATATTCAGAATGGAGTTTCCTCAGATTTTGGAACCCAAACGAAAGTTTTGACTGATAACAACTCTACTACTCGCACGACCGAGTATACTGGTGACAAAAGTAGTAATTTTGCTGTTTCCTCAGACTGTGTTTCCAGCACGAATGTTTCATCTGAAAACAACTGTACCATCACGCTAGATTCCAATGACCGCGGTTCACATACGACAGTTTATTCAGGGAAGAAGAGTGCCAACACGGCGGCTTCATCTGGTCTGAGTTTACCTACATCAGTTTCCCTTGAATGCATTCTTTCAGGCGCCAATGACTTATCGATCTCTAATGATCAAGTGGCAAATGTTTCAGCTTTCAATGGTAATGCCAACGAAGTCTTAGTTCCCACGGATTTAATTTCCAGTTTGATGACTTCTGCTGACCACATTCACCGCTCTATAATTTCCGCTGATGACATTACAGATGTTGCAGTATCCTCGAGATCCTCATGTATGGCCGATCAAAATGATCACATTTATGAGGACAGAACATCGAGTGACCCTGCCGTCCAGACTAACGTAGCTAAACAACTCAACGCTGCCGATAAGCCCGAAGAAACTGAACGCAGCACCACTTCAGTCTGCAAAATTTCCGCCAAATACAATATTGAGTCCAAAAAAAGTCTCACATCTGTATTCACTTCTGAAAAACATTCATCAGGCGAAAGCATTGGGGAAGGTTCTAATTTAGTTAAAAATGCCAATTCTAAAATCAAGCAAGGATTTGGTATCGATGAAAGGCTTTCTCAAGACCCAAGTGCTCTGAATACTGACACTCAGTTTACAGCGGGGGTCGAAGAATCTTCACCTGTCTCTAATTTGTCTGCTGACGGCTTGCATTACCGGGCGGCCAACAGTTCTCCTTTCAGGATGACACCTGGTGAGTGCTTGTACTTCTGCATGCTTTTCTGTTGAACAAATCTGCTTTAAATTCAGTCGAAAAAATTACTTTAGTTCTTCTAAACTAGTATCTGGAACCCGGGACATAATTCATGGATAGGCATGGAAACAGTTTTTTTATTGTAGGTATTTCTATGAATTTAAATAGCCAGCACTAGTGTTGCTTCGATCGTTAATGCCAATAAGAGGGTGTATTTATTATTGTATTTATTATTTACTTCCTCGTTTAATGTGTGATTGTGGTTGATTATCTTGCTTCTCAGTCTCAGTGATTTTTTTACCGCCTCAAGTGATGTGAGTTTTTTCCAAATCCCCCTTATTTTACGTCAATGCATGAATAAGATTTGTTTTAATTCTGAGATACAAATGATTTATCTTGCTTATTACTTGAAGATGAATTTGCACATGATTCCAGTGTCCTGACTTTTGCTATTGTCGTTACTTCTATATAGGCTATTCATTTGAATTCATTCCTACGTTGCACTCAGGTCGGATAATCAAACTTGAGAGAGAAGCTTTGCCCCAGAAAAGCACCGACAGGAGGCAAGCGTCAGGAGTGTCCGTGGATCAGCTAAGAGCAACAGAGCAGCAGCGGCGCGAGGAAGCTCTCGCTGACACACAGTGTCTGGACGCTGTGTGCATCAAGCAGGAGGCTGGACTAAAAATGTTGTGCAAGAGAGAGGTGAGAGGAAAGTAGACCTGTAATGCAGAGCTTCAGAGAAGGTGGAGGAATTTCTCGGTGTAAATTAAAACCTAAGTATTGCTCAAAACGAGGTTTGTTATGACAGAAACAGGACGTGATTCATGATTCATCATGGGCGTGTAGTACCATCTGTCCCGCTTGTTTACCCTAAATTCTAGTTAAATTATCTATTCGATATCTGTAATAATCTTCTTTAGTCGAGTACAATGCTTGGCCTCGGTAAAACCAGCATAATTTTCCCAGTACAAATTGCATCAGATGCAGTAAATAACCCCATGTGATCGCTGAAGTCAGACAGAAGCATTTCATGCTTTTTTGATTAAAAGGTATACGTTATTATTTAACTGGATTCACGTTGTTATCGTTTTCAGTACATTCACATAACTCACGTTGTATGCAGATCAGAGGTTTTGGTGTCATGACCAGCGTTTTCTCGAGCTCTGCAACTGAATGTGCGATACAATTCTATACATGGGCATCCAAAATAAGTAACATTCCTAATTTACAGTTACAGGAAACTGAGGAGACTCGTGCCTCGGATGGAGAAGAGGACTACATTCGCAGTCCTTCCGTCCCTCCTTCGCCCTCCTCTGTCTCTTCCTACAACCCAAGTCTGGTGGATGTGCCGCTGTGGAATCCACCTGAAGATCATCATCTTTCTCTTGGCTTCGACCATGACAACGGAAACGAGTCATGCGATTTCGGTTCCAAGGACCCGTGGACTTTTACCAATCATTATAGTAATTTTGAAAATAGATCTTGGGGTGTCGTTAATGAAGCTCAACGACACGTAACTGTTACAGATGACGTCGATGTCACAACATCCAAAAACGGCCTCTCGAATTCTAGTTGTGTTGTGGCTAACGCAGTGAAAGTTTGTGACTTTGGCAGTGCGTTGCGCATGGAGGAAAGAGGTGCAAGTTCTTTTCAAGTTCTATCAGAGTCTGGAGATGCGAATTCTGTGCACATGGTGGCAGCAAGTTCCAGTTCTTTGCGCCTTAAAGAGAGCGCTGTAAGCCCTTCCTGCAACCAAACTGGCAGTGCAAGTTCTTCGCTACGACGGTCTGTGAGCTCAGGATCTGCTGAAGACTGTGAACTCGAGTCTCGCGATGAATACTTCCATGCCAGCGACCTCAACTCGAAACTTCAGAGTAAGTGGAATTATTTTAAGCTTATAACCTATGTGTGTATCAAGTCGGGTTTCTTTGTATTGATATTTGTAGTGCCTGCATGATTAAAGTCATACTTTTAAAAGAAGGCTGCTTTTATTTAGCTCTCGTATAATTGTGTCATTACAGTGCATGAAGAACGACTGGAGTCAAATATGGCACACATTAAAAAATATACTTGGAAAACTACCTATGTCATTATTAAGAACTCAGAATTCACTCAACATTCCTGCTGTTCGCAAATCCCTGCGGTCGAGTATTATCCGGCATTCTTGACTTTCTTAACTTTTGCGTCTTTAACTTTCAACTGCAATAAATAATTAAGGAAATTTATTAGTTTTCTCGTGAAATACGCTCTACATATGTGAAGATCTGCTGAATTTCATGTCATTCACTACATATGTCATTCGATGATGACTTCAGTCTCATAAATTGTCGTTAGCTCACAATACAGCAACTTTTCAATCCCTATTTGGGCGTTGGTTTCATTCATTCACAGTTGGTTTCATTTAAGTATACAGTAGTACTCGCTACTGACTCGCTACGGTACTCTCTACTGAAATACGGTAATAATTATTAAATAAGTTAGAAAAAACAATGATTGAATTTAGTTTTGTTGAATTGTTCATTTGAATTAAGGTAATTCTTAATGAGTGCGTGTCATTTTACACATAATTCAATGCTTTCACTTAGGGAGGCTTGGCGGCTCGCAGAATAGAGACGTGAAGCCGAGGTTAACCTTGGATGTTGATGTCAAACCCCGTCTTGTTTACGTCACCCCTGACATCAAACCCCGAGCTCTGTTGTCAACTCCTGGTCCAGGCAGCACTACCAGGAACGCCTCCTGTAGCGCTGACAACTCCGAGAAGTTTCCCAATCCTAACAGCAATAATAATGCAGCTTTCAGCAAAAACAATGGAACTTGCATGAAAACTCTGGAAATTTCTGGCACCAATGAACTAGAAGCAACAACAAGCAAAGCTTGTCAACCCTTGACTTCCGTTAACGATACCAACACAAAAGTATTAACAAACGCTCAGACGGCGGACTATAACGCACAGACGTTGAACCTAAGCACCCAGGCGGCAGGCGTGAGCGCGCAGGCGATGGAACTGAGCGCGCAGACGGACGATGGGAACGCACAGACGACCGCCTCTAACAACACCGCCAGTCAGGGCGAGGAGGCGTTCGTGTGCGTGTACAAGTGCGTGCACTGCGAGGAGTGCTTCGAGACACGCTCAGCCCTCATGAAGCACCTCTTCACGCACGCTGGTGAGTGCGGTCACTACGTAGTTGTTTTCTCTCGTAAATTTGGGCCAGAAATTCTTACAAAAATGAAACCGAATCCTCAATTGTATTCCCTTAATATTGTGATTTTCCTACTGATGTAGTCTCAAATTACAAGGGTTTTATATTAGAATTACTACATTAAAACGGTTAATTTATCTGTTGACGAAGGAGAACTTTCTGTCTACTGACGGTGTATCTTTGAATTTAAATGACGATGTCTCAGCATATGAAACGTTCAGCTTTAAATGTCGCATTAGCATCACTGGGCGTGAGCGAACCTAACCTCCCAATCTTATTATGCTGTTTGTAGCGCACTGGATCTGTCTTCTTTATAATATTTCCCATTTAAATTACCGATACTACACCTATTATGCATAATGATGGACTAATGTGTGTAATTTCTTTTCAAGTCAATATCGCGAAAATTAACATAAAACGTCTAAAATCGAGGATCGACAGTCGAGATCGCAGTTACTTACTCAACGGTCGTTTAGAGTTAGTAGGCTACTTACACGTGAAATCAACAATAGTTACCTTCTGGCCCTAATAACTTACTTTCTTATTTCATATGTTTCAGATCTATATGTTACTACCATACATATTATAACAAATTCTGTAAGTTGCTGGATGAGTATAAAATCTGAAATGCATCGAGCGACTAACCAGAGATTTCATAAGCTTGATTCGAAAGTCGAGTAGTGCGTCCTGTGAAAAGACGACGTTTGCATTGCCAGTAAATTGACGTAATTAGTTCTGTATTGTGCAGATGTGCTTGGACAATCCTTCATTACAGCACTTCTCTTTAAATTCACTTCTTGCTATTTGTTTATTGGTCTTATAATCGATATTTAACACACTCCTACCAGTCCAATCGATCTGAAATTTTGCACACTCGCGTAAAGTCGTAGACAATGCTTGAATCAATTGATAGAATAAATAATTGTAAGAAAAAAAATTTATTTATGTATTAAACAAGGACTACTACACACAGGACATGCATAGCCTATGTCCAGCCTCTGCTAGCAGAGGCGATCGCCTACACTATGAAAATGCTGGTGTTTTAGTGGCATCAACAAATGATATGCCCATAATTGTTTCATACAATAGTATTACAATGTGTGTAGTAGTCCTTGGTCAGAACCATAGACTTTTTGCCAGTTTTGAAGTTCAAAATTTTGTACTAAGCAAAGTAGGTACCATTTTCCTGCCTTCATACACTGATAAAAAAAATATTTAAATGGAGTG